ATAGCAAATTTATTATAGTTTCTTTTTTTTGAAAAAAAAAAAATAATAAATTAAAAAACAATTAAAAAAAATGTGTTGTGATTTTTTTCTTTTTAAAATGAAAACTTTTGTGGGCGGAGTGTTCTTGAAAATATATATAAATATATATAATTGATTCTATTTCTTTTAAAATTAAATCTAAAAAAAATTAAAATACATTAGTATTTAAAATAATGGGAAATAAAAAAAATAAAAATAAAAAAAAAATAAAAAAAAATAAAAAAAATTAAATTAAATTAAATGTTAAAAAAATTAAAAATAAAATTAAATAAATAAAAACAATATTACTTTTTTTTTTTTTCAAATATTTGTTAAAATTTATTTGAATTTATTTTTTTTAAAAATAAAAAACTTTTAGTTTGAAAATATATATGTGATATTTGTTTTTTTTATACAAAAAAAAAAAAGGAAAAAAACTAAATTGAAAATTATTTCTTTATGTTAATGAAAAAAATAAAAGTTTTGAATATATAAAATAAAATAAAATAAAATAAAAACTTTACACAATGTTGAAATAAAGAAAAAAGAAAATGGGAAAAAAAATTAAATTAAAAAAATTAAAAATTAAAAATTAAAAATAAAATATAAAAGAAATATTTCTTTTATTAATAACTTTATTATATTATTTACTATATTGATAAAATTTTTATTTTAAAAAGTTTTTTTTATTGATTTTTTTATTACCTTGTTGGTGTTTTTATTATAATAAATTTATGAAATAAGAACCCACAATGATTTTTTTTTAAATTTCTTTTTTTTTTGTTTTAAATATTAACAAAAAAAGTTCGAGCCTATTTGATTTTGAAAAAAAAAATTACTTTATTTGGTTATTTTTTTTTATTTTTTTATTATTTTTTTTTTATTGAATTTAAATCCTTTAATTATCATATTATTAAGGAAAATAGATAAAATCCCTTATTATTATAGTAATTAAAGAATCAATTTTATTTTTTTTATATATTAATATTATTATTCATTATTTTTTTTTTTTACCTTTCTAGATTTAATTTAAATATAAAACAATTTAACAGGATATTAATTATATATATAAAACGCACTGGGAAAAATGATTTTGGTATGTGTGGGAAATTTTATGATTCTTGTGAAATACTAAAAAAAAAATAAAGAGAAAAAAAAAAAAAAGAAATTAAAAAAATTTTTAAAAAAATTTAAAAAAAAAATATTATTTTTAATTTTTTATTCATAGACAAGAGAAATAGATAAATCAACCCACATATTCACACATAAATAATAAATAATTTAACTAAAGCACGGGGGGTTATTTCAAAAACAGTGGAAAAAAATTAAAAAAAGGATTATATTTTAATATAAATTTACAATAGATACACCCCATCCCCCCAAATAATAACAAAAATAATAAAACTCACATAAATTCACATATACCACATTTTTATACTAACAAAAAATAAAAAGAATGAATAACAATAGTAACAATAGTAACAATATAAATAATATCAATAATATCCACCAATCAATTGATTTATCATCACCAATTTTATCAAAAATAACTGCTGATATTAATAATAACAATAATAATAATACACACAATTTTAACAACAACAATAACAATAATAAAAATAACTATCTATTAAGACCACTGGGTGAAAATAATAATGAATATAAAATCCTAGAAGACCCATCTAATTGTAATGGTTTATTTCAGTTATTTAAAGAGACAGTAAAATATTATCATTGTTATAATAATAAATCAAATCAATTAGTTTTTTTCTCACTAATAGGAAGCCAATCATTCAATTTGAATATAGAATCAAGTGACCAAGATTTTTTTGGGGTTTACAAAGCAGATATCGATGATATTTTATCATTTCAATCATATTATTATAATAGAATACCAATTCAAACATTTCGAAACAATAATAAAAACAACACTTTAAATAAGGATAAAGATAAAGATAATATAATCAATCCCACGGAATCAATAATTCATTTAAAACCAGATATCACTATTCATGAAATACGTTATTATTTTAAATTACTATTATTGGGAAATCCTAAAATAATAGAACCATTATTTATAGATAAATATTGTATAAAAACAGGTAAATATAAAATATAAATATTTAAAATATAAATAAAAAAAGATTTATAATATTAATTTTTTTTTTTTATAGATGAATGGTTAGAAATTATTAAAAATAGAAAAGAGTTTATAAATTTAACAAGTTTAGAACATTTTTACTCAACGATAAAGGTTCTTTATTTCGGTATCAAACATATTAACGATGAGATAAATAAATCACAGGATCAACAACAAAAAACACTAAATGATAGAAAGAGTATATTTAAAAAATCATACCATTTAATAAGGTTACTGTATGAAATGGACGATATTATTGCAGGAAATAATTTAACCATATGGCTACCAAGTGATTCAGATAGAAGGAAACTTCTTTACACAATTAGGGCAGGGGAGGAAATTGATGAACAAAGTTGCTTCGAATTGGTAGATAAAAGATTCAAACAGTTTGAAAAGGACTATAATAAACTAAAAGAAGATATTGAAAGGGGTACAAATAAATCATTCATCAAAGAACCCATTAAAGGATTAGATGTATTAAATCAAATCCTAGTTAAATATAGAAGAAGAGATATTGAGGTTTGCAGACCATTTCCACAATTTAGCTTCAACAATGTAAATACAAATGCTGATAGTACAATTTATTCAACTGCCATGGATGTTATGAATAAAAATAAAATTAAGGGTACCTTGCTCTATTTTGGACCTTCAGGTAGTAGCTTGCACAACTTACAAGATGATAGCAATGCTAATAACATTCAAGATTGGGTAGGTATTTACGCTGCCCCAACTGATGAAATTGTTTCTTTGTTTCCCCCACCTTTAAAACATGACTGCAGTGGTTATATCTTACAATCTGATGAGCATATAGGTTTAAATTTAGCACCAGCACCAAACAGACAAAACCAGCAATTCAAAAAAGACACATTCTCAAAAGGAATTACTCTATATGAAATAAAGTATGCACTTCAACTAATTGTAAATGGCTCATATCGTTTATTGGAATGTATTTTTGCATCATCACACGAAATTCAAGCAAAACACCCACTTCAAGACAAATTCTATATAAGCGATGCTTGGAAGGAGCTTATCGAAGATAACACCACTTCAATATTTGGTAAAAATGATTTAGCCAAATACTCAAACTCCAATCTATTACAACAATTATGGGGCCTTTCTAAATCATGCAATTCAAATTGTTCTAAATTTAAAAAAATGAAAAGTCAATTAGCCACCAATCAGCTCAACCAATTAATCGATACCTCTTACTCAAGAAACCTGTTCTTTTCATTCCATCTATTGCTCGAATGTAAAAGAATATTAAATGAAGAGCTTCCCATGATATACATTGACAAAGATTCAGAGAACCATCAATTTTTAATGAAATTAAAAAACAATCAAGTTACCATCGACGAAATAGAACCATTAATCAACGAAAACAACAAACAATTGGATGAAATAAAAAAGAAATTGGATCTTTTAAAATTATCTCAAAGAACAGATATATTAGAATTTCAAACTATTCAATCATTCAATAATTGGTATAATAAAGTTAGAAAATCATTGTAATAAAATATGGTTTTTTTTTTTTTTTAATTTTAAATTTTAAATTTTAAATTTTATTTTACTTTATTTTTTTGATTTTGAATTAAAGATTTCATCGATTTCATCTTCATCGTGTGATTTCTTATGTTTCTTTTTTGATTTTTCTTCTTTATAGTTATCTTCTGAATAGTCGTCTTCTTCTCTTTGATTTTTATTTTTATTTTTGTTGTTGCTGTTATTGTTATAATTGCTATTACCATTGTCATTAATAATATCATTAAATAATTTTCTCTTTTTATCTTTTGAATTTTGTTCAGTTGCCCAATTATCTTTTTTCTTTTTATATTTGTTAATTTGACAAATCATTAAAACATATCTACCGCATGGACGAGCAAATAATCTTTCTTCTTCTTTCATCAACTCTTTAGCGATAACTTCTTTTTGTTTGAAATCTGCAATTTTGTACATCTTTTCGATGGTATAACTACCATAACGATCTTCACCGATTGTAACGAAATTACCATTAAACTTTATAATTAATTGATTCTTTTTGGCCAATGGTACATTTTGACTATCTAAAAATACATCGTATACTTTGCTGCCAATGTTATTAGTTGCTAATGAAATTAAATACTCTGGTTCGAGCGAGATGAATGATTCGATGGCAGTTTTGTTAAAGTCGTTTGAGAATTTGAATAATAATTGAAGAATTGCTGAACCACATGCTGAATACATTTGGGTGGATGAAACATTATTTTCTAAACCTAATAAAGTTTGAGCTATATCTTTTTGACCATTCTTGTAATCTGCTAAAACAGCTTCGTATAAAACCTTTATGATTTCTTTTTCAAAGGTGTTGAATTTTAATGAACCTTCTAATAATTTTTGGACAACTAAGCCTCTACCAATGCTAAAGAGATTTTTAAAGTGGTCTTTGAATTCTTGAACCAATATCATAAAGTGAGCTGGTTTTGAGCATTTATCAATAAAGTTTTGAATGACGTGATTGGCATACATATCTTCACAAAGATCCATTATATCATGCTTAACTAAACCAATTAATTCTAAAAAGATTTCTTCTGGGCAAGTTTTGACAATCATCTCGCAGAAAACTGAACCGTATTGGCTCTTCATGACCTTGATGAATTGTTTCTTTGAGAATTCGACATTAGACATTTTAATGAATGCTTCTAACCATGATCTGTAGATTTCGACTGGAGCTTGTGAAAGTACTTGGAAAACTGCTTTAATTGATTCGATTGGTTCTTTTTGGAATGCAAACTTGACCATGTTGGATTTAATTGGGTCTTTAACTTTTTCTAAAATTTCTTTTAATTTATCGGTATACTCTTTTGATACTGGATACTCGATTGACTCCTCATCTTCTTTTTGTTGTTGTTCTTCTAAAATTCTTTCTTTATATGGTTTCTTCTTTCCATTGAATGTGCTTGCTTGCTCTTGTTGTTGAGCTGATACTTTCTTCTCTTTAATAGTGCCTGATAAAATTAAAACAATTGATGAAAATACGTAGGTTGCATATCTATCTGTAACGGTTTTAACTGTATCTTTTAAAAGTGTATCGATGAATTCGAATAATGCTTCATTGTATAACTTGATTGTAGCTTTATCACCTCTATTTATAATCTTTGGTGTGCAACGTAACAATGCCTCAATAACTCTTGAACCATTTGAATCAGCAATTAACTTTTCAAAATCTTTTCTAAATGACTCGACATATTTTACAATAGTGCTTGGATCTTTACATTTTTGAAACATGGTTTCTAAAACTAAACTTGTCTTTTTATCACATGCAATTGAAACTTCTTTATTTTCTATTTCTTTATGTGCATTTTCAATAATTATATCAATTTCTTTAAAAAAACAAATAAAAAAGTTAATAAAAACTTAATAAAACTTTTGATAAATGTTAAATATGAATATGAATATTTACCTTCTCTTGTAATTTGCTCTTCACTGTTTTGTTTACAAATTAAACCTTCAATTCTAGTGAAATATGATCTAGTATCTAAATCTAATTGTGACTTGTTTGAGTTTTCTGCGAAAAATTCTTCCTCTAATTTGTCAATGTCCTTATTATTATTATTATTATTACTATTATTATTACTATTATTATTATAACTATTATTTCTATTATTATAACTATTTCTATTATTTCCATTACCATTACTATTATTATAATTATTTCTACCACTATTGTTATTATTATTATTATAGCTATTTCTATTATTATTGCCACCATCGCCATTATTTCTATTTCTATTTAAATATCTGGGACCATTATTATTAGTATTATTTCTATTATTTGACCCTACTTTATCAACGTAGAAATCTTGACCACCGCCATTATCGCTATTATTATTGTCATTGTAGTTATTTCTATTATTATTATTATTTCTTCTTAAACTTTTTTTATATCCACCACCCATCTTGTATGTATCTGATAGTTGTGTTATTTTTATTCGAAATGTTTTCGTTTTTTTAAAATAAAAAATTTTAATTTTTTTTTTTTTTTTTATTTTTAATTTTTTAATTTTTTTTATTTTATTTTTATTAATTTTTTATTATTTTTATTTTATTTTTCCAATTATTCGAATTATTGAATATATTTGATCATATTTGTTTTTTATTATTTTATTTTATTTAATTGGTTTTTAAATAAATAAATAGATAAATAAATATAAATAAATAAATATCTCCCAACCATTTATTTTAAGAAATTATTAATCTTTATGTCAATCTATTATTTATAAAAATATTAAAAAAAAACCAATATTTTTAAATTTTGAAACTAAAATAGAAAAAAAAATTAACACATGTATTTTGAATATGATACAAATAAACTATAAACAAACTAACCCTGCTCCCAAATCTTATTCATGTAATAGCCCCCAATATTTTTTTTTTATTTTTTTTAATTTTTTTTTTAATTTTTATATTTTTTTTTTAAAAAAATTTTATATTTTTTAAAAAAATATTTAAAAAAAAACACACACTAAAATTTTTTTAAACAAAAAATAAAATATTGTAATAAATAATTTATTGAACATATAATAATAATAAACAATTATAATAATTCAGAGTTTTATAAATAAAAATTTATAAATAAAAAGTTTTACCACATAAATTAATATAATATTATACTACTGTGTATAAGTATATATATTAAACACACATCCCACACAACATAAAATAAAAAAAAAAAAAAAATGACAGTTATTGAAAATGGTAAGTGGTGTTTGATTGATTCTTTATTTTCTTTATTTTATTTACTTATGCTTTTTAATTTTTTAATTTTTTAGATATTGATGGCACTAAAGCAATTCAAGATAGTAATGATGATGATGGAATGATTATATTTTTTAAAGTTAGAGGAAAAATGAAGGCATCAACATTTAATGGTCAATCGATTGATGATTTAAATGATTTGTTTTTAAAGGAGTTCCCTGAATATTCAAAAGATGGTGTACCACCATTTATAATTAAACACAGACAAACTAAAACATTATACGAATTAGACGAAATAGCGGACTTATACCCAGGCTGTACATTGGAGATGAAAAAAGGTTCAACAGATTGTAAATATTTTTTAATTTTTTAAATTAATTCCGATGCAAAATGTTTAATATATTACAGATATTAATTTTAAAATTTTTTCGTTATTTAGTAATTACTGAAGGTAAAAAAAGACAATATGTTTATACAGGATTTGAATCAGATAAAATCGTTGTTGTAATGGTTGGTTTACCAGCTTCAGGTAAAACATATATTTCTAGAAAAGTCAGAAACTTATTAAATTGGATGGGTGTACCTGCTAAGGTTTTTACAGTTGGCGATTATAGAAGATTAAGATTGGGCGCAAAACAACCTGCAGAATTTTTCGATCCTGGTAATGTTGATGCATCAAGAGTTAGATTACATATGGCAGTCGCAGCAATTGACGATATGATGGGTTGGTTAAATTCGGGTGCACAAGCCGCAATATACGATGCAACTAATTTGACAAAAGAAAGAAGACAATTAATTTTATCAAGATGTCTTAGAGAGGGCATAGAAAAAGTAATTTTTGTAGAATCTGTAATGACCGATAAAAGTAAATATATTAAATAGAAAAAAGAAAAAAAGAAAAAAATTAGTTTACTAATCATTTTAATATAAATTTATAGAAAAAATCGAAACCAATATGATCGAAAATTGGAAATCTTCACCAGATTACGAACACCACAGCCAAGACGAAGCAGTTAAACATTTTAGAGAAAGATTATCATACTATGAAAAAGAATATGTTAGTGTAGATAAAACTGATCAACTTCAATATATTAAACTATACGATGTTGGTAAAAAAATTATTGCAAATAATATTACAGGTTATCTTCCAAGTAGAATAATGTTTTTATTAATGAATCTTCATTTAAATCCACGTCCAATTTGGTTATGCAGATCGGGCCAATGTGAATGGGAAGTCTTAGGAAAGTAAGTTTATTATTAGTCAAGTATAAATATAGATTAGATTAAATTTATATACTTATCAATTATTTTATTATTAATTAATAGGAAAGGAGGCGATTCAGAATTAACAGCAGAGGGTGAAAATTTCTCACATAGATTGGCTTCATGGGTTGACGAAAATGCGAATGATGAAGAGGTTACAGTTTGGACATCAACATTTAAGAGATCGGTCAGAACTGCTCAATATATCCCACATCCAAAAGTTCATGTTAAGGCCTTGGATGATCTTGATCGTGGTGAATGGCAAGGTTTAACACGCGAAGAAATACTTAAAAAAACGCCAGAAGAATTTGGTGCTCATAGCGATGATAAGTTAGGTTATAGAATACCAAGAGGTGAATGCTATTTAGATATTATTCAAAGATTAGAAACTGTAATTTTAGAATTAGAAAGAAGTAAGTATATGGTTAATTACTATTTTATTTTATATAAATTAATTAATATTAATAAATATCTTTTTTTCTTTTAGCAAAAAATACATCATTAATTGTTAGTCATCCAGCTCCTTTAAGATGTCTTTATGGATACCTTACTGGTGAACCAATTGAAAAATTCCCATATATAAATATCCCCTTAAATACAGTAATTTCATTACTACCAACTGCCTATGGTTGTGAAGTCAAAACTTTCAAATTAATGTAACAATAATAATAGTAAATAATAGCAATACAAATAATATAAATACCAAATAGAAAAATTAATCAATTTAAATAATAAAAAACTGTAAATTTTGTGAATTTCCACCTTTTTTTTTTGGAAACAAAAGTTGATTGTTTTTTTCTATTTCCAATTTTATTAAACCCCAATTTTTTCCTATAAATATAATTTTTATGACTAATTTTTTTTTTCTTATAAAATTAATAATATTTTATTTCTGTAAAACTATTAAATAAATAAATAAATTAATAAATAGAAATTTTTTTCTGTAAACATTGTTTTAAATATAAATTATAAGAAAAAAAGTTTTAAATTTCATTATCTTCGGAATTTTGAACCATTCTAAAATTATAAAATCAAATAAAATTGAATTGAATCAAAAAGTAAACCCAAAGCAAACATAATAATAAACCCGAAGTTTTGTATTCCTTTACATTAAAAATAAAATCAATGTAAATATTTATTTATTTTTATTTTTTTAATTTTATTTTTTTTAATTTTATTTTTTTAATTTTTTTATTAAAATTTTTTTATTAAAATTTTTTTTTTTTAATTTTTTTATTAATTTCACATTCACAAAAAAAAAAATAATGAATAATAATGATTTAAAAAGAAACAGAGATCAATTCGAAAGTGACAATAATAATAATAATAATAATAATAATAATAATAATAATAATAATAATAATAATAACAATAACAAAGTTTTCAAAAAAGATAGTTTAAATGATAATAATAATAATAATAATATAAATAACAATGAAGTTTATTTTTGGAAAGTTATTAAAAATAAATTCCTTTTTTATAAAATTCTATCCCATCTAAAAACCAAATTTCGTTATAGGGTTTATAATTATAAAGAGATAATATCAGTAAGATGGATGTTGGATTATGGTCATTTGGGTTTGTTGAAATTAAAGGTAGAAAGAGGTGAATATTTGGTTTTTAGCAAGTGTTTAAAGAATAAAGATAAAGAACTTTCAAATTCAGATATCTTTAACCAAATCCCAAATATAAATGGTTTCAATGAATACACCCAAAGATCAACGAAATCGATATTTCATTATTTTAAAAGTTCAAATGATGAGGTTTTTTTTTCAAATTTGTTCAAAAATTATAAATATTTCTTTACCTGTTCAATTGAAAATACACTTCAACTAATAATAGAATGTGATAATGTTACCGGTTTCAAAGTACTAATACCATATTTCAACGGAGTTTCATTCAAAGATATACTACATAAAGCATTAAAAATTGGTTCCATCGAAATTGCAAGCTTTCTTTATGACAATATCACCCTAACACCTACCGAAAAGAAATCTCTTGTAAAGAAATTAATCATTAAAAATAAAATAGAGATTATGAATAAACTTTTAAATTTTTTTTTAAATAAAATGAATTTAAAGATTAAAATTCAAAAATTCAATATAAATAATATTAGTAATAATAATATAGACAATATTAGTAATGATAATAGTGGTAGTAATACAGATCATATAGAACTATCTTTAAATAGTTTATCATTTTATTGTACATTAATTTTCCAAGAGCCATTAAAGATTTTATTAGAATCATGTAAAATAATATCATTGTTAATGGAGTGCGGCAAAGATCCATCCAATTCATCTACCACATTCAATATGATGCCAATCAACGAATTAAATTCATTCATATTTACAAGTAAAGAATTAAATACATTGGTGCAAGAGTTTCCTACTGAAAATGAACACGTCAAAAAAATGTTTAAAATGTTTATTCCTTTTACAAATTCCTATAGTTGGTTTGAACATCCAAGCTTTAAACAAGATTATCGAACTCTAAATTCAAATTTTTATGAAATTAAATATGAAAAAAGGTATCATGGTGTTCAATATGACCGAGATATATCAAAGCTATTCAATCCAATATTATACGGCGATTTTGAAATGTTTTTAGAACTATTCAATGGGGCTAGTTATTTATTAGATACAGTGTTTTCAAATAAGATTTTTGCATATTGCATGAATAGTAAAGAAAAGAAGAAAGAATTCATCAACAAGCTTTTTATACATTTAAAACAACTCGAAAGTAGTGAAAGCGAAACCAAGGAAAGATATATAGATTTTTTAAAAAAGATTGTGGAGTCTCTAACTAAAGAAAATGATATAGATACACTTGTATTGTTTTATGAAAAATTCAAATTCGATTTACTACTATTTCCATTCGAACAAATAAAAACACCAGAAATATTTAATTTTTTTTATAAATTAAATAAAGAATCTCTTAATAACAACAATAATAACCATAATAATAACAATGACAGTAGTTATGGTAATGGTGGTAATAATGTAAAAAAAGATAACAAAAAAAAAAAAGGAACTCAAATCATAAATAGTTCTCAACAACATAAAGAAACAGAAGAAAAGAAAAAAAATTTTTTATCAATGGTTATAAATCAATTATTTTTATTTGGGAAAATAAAGCTGGTAGAGTATTTTAAAGAAAATTATAATCAAGACTATATGGAATCTTTAAATCTATTTAGACCATTAGAAGGTAGTCATCAGTACTTTGAAGAGTTTAAATTTATCAATGAAAATAAAAGAGATTTCCCAAGCGAAGTAATAGAAAAAATAGGATACCAACCTCCGCCATTTGGTCAACTAGATCATCCAGATTTTAAATATGCAATAAAGAGTCTAAAACAAGAAACAAACTATACAATTAGTTCGGCACAAGATAAGATTTTGGCATTGGACTGGGTACAAAGAAAAAGAAAAAAAGATATTGCTTCTGGAAGGTGTATACTGGAATATTACGAGTTACAGGCATTGGTTTATTATTATAGATATCAATTTGAAGAAATGGTGTTAAATAACCCTATATTCCAAAGAAACCATCCATTCAGTACTGTTTTTTATGATCCCTCGATTCAAACTACGTTACCAATATTTCATAATATAGGATTGGTAGTAAACGAAATTGTTAAAAGATCCGATATTGAATCCCTTGAACTCATACTATCAACCTATTTCACCACAGAGGAATCTAGCATATCAGAAAAAGGGATTATATATTTCATTTTAATCAAAGCTTCGTTTTATGGTCAAATTCAAATATTCAAATACTTTAATGAAAATTATAATTTTTTATTAAATACAGACGAAAAAACATCAGGTACAGATAATTTAAATAACAGATTAAACAGGTTAACAAAAAGAAATGTAAAAGAAATGATTGAGATTGCCATAGACAATATTCATATAGATCTGTTAATATACTTTTATTATGAAATCAAAAGTTTTAAAGCTCCACTTTTAGAAACCTTAATATATATCGAGGATAAATATAATATAATCATCCCAACACTTAAAAAAAATTTTAAAGTCTAAAATAAATAAATTAAAATAAATTTAATAATATTATTAATTTGGTTTTTATAATAAAATCTCTTCTTTATTTAATCTTAATTTTTTATTTAATTTATATGTTAATTATTTAATTGGGAAATAATTATCAAATCTTATAATTCTAACTTCAAAAATTTATAATAATTGGTAAAAAATATATTTTTTAATATTGAAAATAAATTAAAAAAAATACTAACTGCATTTATTTTTAACGTTATTTATAAATATTTCCTTTTTTTTATATTTTTTATTATTTTATTTTTTTTTTATTTTTTTTTATTTTTTTATTTTAATTTTTTTGAAATTCAATATTTTTCTAAAAACTATAAATAGAATTTGGACTAAAAAAAAAAATAAAAACAATGAAATTAAAAGTTATAAAAATAATATATAAAATTAAATCAAATATTAATAATTTAAAAGATAAAGCATTAAATACCAATACTTTAATATAACATTAATACTGTAAAAAAATAATTAAAAAAAATCAAAAATGAAATTCTTAAGAAAAATATTCAAAAAACTTATAATCCTTGTAATAGTTATAATAGGTCTTTATTATAATACAGGTGTTGATGCTCAAACACTAAGTATGTATTTACTTTTTTAATAATAAATTTCTTAAAGATTAATATTAATTTTTATTTATATTATTTTTAGAAACTACAATTAGTTTCTTGGGCTCTTTTGAAAATAGCAAATACAACAATGATAGCAATATCTCAGGTACCGTTTCTGTAAGCATGGAGTTACCATTTGATGTCATTACACTTTACAACATTGGTGGTATTGTATATGACTACTCTATTAATATGACAAATATTAATAGTTCAGACTACTCCCATTCAGTATTAAAAGGTCCATCCACAGATATCTATGAAGAAGATTATTTAGGCCAGTTCTCCGTTCCATTAGGTATAAAATATAATACTACTACCCCAACTACTTTTAATGGCATTGGTAGAGTCAATATGACCAATAATGAATTTAGTGATTCTGTTTGTAACCAAGTTTCAGAAACTTTAAATAATCTATTAAATGACTCAGCCTCATACCAGGACTCATTTAAAGTTATTTTGTATTTAAAGAGTGAAAACATTAGACCAATGGCCATTGCTAGTCTCAAATTTAATACCATAACCATTTCAAATGACACTGATAGCAACAGTTCTAGCCAAAACTCTACTCATTCAAGTAGAGACTCATCTAGCTCCTCATCTAACAGTTCTTTAGGATCCTCTGATACAAAAAGTAATAATACAACAAGTGCCAATAGTAATACTGCAGATGAATCCTCCTCAAACAATAACCCAACAACAAATATACCATCAACAGAATCGCCAAATGCAACTTTGAACCCTGGATTGGAATCAAATGAAGATGGATCCTCGAAATCATCATTTGTATATCCAGCAATAAACCTCGTTGTATTTATAATCATTGGTGTAGTTTTATTAATTTAAAATAAATAATAATAAATTAAGACAATATTGTTTCTATTAAAAAAAAGAATACATTCATTAAATAAACTAAAGTTTCGTTTAAATTTTATTTTATTTTTTTTTATCGTTTATTTTTTTATTTTTTTTGTTTATATATACATTAATAAATATTTGAAAAATTATATATTACATCTATACTGTTTATTTATTTGGCTCTAATTGATAAAATAGTAAATATCCGCAGTCATTGCTGAATTCATTTGAAGAACCAAAGCATTCATGGATATCTGCCTCTTCTCTGATCTGTATTTAAAAAAAAAAAAAATCAATATGGCTGGAAAGTAAATTAATATATAAATTAAAGGCATCTTACATCAATATTATCATCATCAAAAAGGAACCAAACACCATGACATTTAATTAAACTATAATAATGACCACGATTTGGACCACTACCAACATGGATTACCACTGCAAATAAATTATACTTTCTATCATAGTCTTTTAAATCCGAGGTCTACATATTCAAAAAAAAAATTAATATTATTTTATAAAAAATATTTATAATAGGTAGGTAGTTTATAAAAATACTTACAGTATTTTGAATTATAGTTTCAAATGGAAATACTACTCTGTAATTTAATTTTGTATATTGCTGAACGGTTTCGGAATATTTAAATCTTTTTAAGTGGATAATTAAAGTATTTGGTAGTTTTTTATCTTCATTCTTTTATGGGCTTCTTGAAGAGAATTACATTTATCACAAAAGAATTTATTATTTTTTGATAAAACTTCAACTGAGCTAAAATTGGATAGACAACTAGTTAATGATTTATTCTTTTCTATATCGATTGAAAGATCCAAAAACGATTCATCTTTATTGGTAATGGATTCACAGGTTAAACATTTGGTTTCATTTGTTAATATACCTTCAAAAATTTCATGAACAAATGATTTAACTATTTTTTTATTTTAAAAAAAATTTAATATAAAACATTTTTATATAAATGATGATTATTAATAATGCTATAACTTACACTCTTTCTTTTCTTCATCTTTTTGATCTGGTTCCTGGTCTTTTTCTTGCTGCTGTTGTTGTTGCTTTTGTTGTTTTTGTAAATACTCAGCAATTGAGTTTAATAAAAAATTTAAAAATTCATGTGCATCTTGATGATTATAATTACTGAACATTTCATTTTCTCTTTTTAATCTGTCCACGAATCTTTCTGGCTTTAAGCATCCATATGTGTCTCTATTTTGATGAATTGTATAAAAAAGTTCACCCAAATGTATAATTAAGTTTTCCTCTCTACTTGTTTTATTACCGCTGCTAGAGGTGGTTGTTGGTGAATTCAATCCATTATTACTTTGGGTACCACTACCACCACTTAAAAATGATAAAATATTAAAGGAAAAAAATGAACTTTGTGAAGGCTGTTGTTGTGGTATTTGATGGGATGGTATTTGTTTTTGTGGTGATACTTGTTGTTGTTGATTTATATTTCTCTGATATCCTATTGGCTGTGCTGAGCTATTCCTTTTTTGCTGTAGCTGTTGCTGAATTAACTGTTGCTGTTGTTGGTGCTGTTGTTGATAAATATTTACATTATTACAATTATTATTGTCTTGTTCGCTTTTACTTTTATTACTATTGTCACTATTATTATTATTATTATTATTATTATTATTGCTCTCTAAATCATCTATATCATAAGGTACAAATGGTGGTAATCCTTTAACTTCACAATAATACTTTAACAATCTATTTCTAAACGGTACACAGAAATATAATACCTGTAAAACTGAATTGCAATAACATGTGTTTCCAAACTATAGAAAAATAAAAATAAAATTTATGTTAATATTTGAAAATATTTCTTTTTTTAGAACCTAAACCATACATTTTCAAAACCAAAAAGCTTTTGTGATCTTGGAAAAAATTCATATTTTTCATATAATTTCTCTAAATCAGTATTTGATTGGCTATTGCCCATTTTAAACTTTTATTATTTATTATTATATATATATTTTAATTATAGTTATTTTATATTATATATAGATGTGTATTTATTTAACATAAAAACACAAACTACATTAACAATTCGTTTAGTACAATGTTATTATAATAAAAAATACAAAAAAATTAAAAAAAGTTTTAATTTAAAAAAAAAAATATTAAAAAAATAATTAATTTTTTTAATTTTATTTTTTTTTTTTTATTTTTTTTTTTACTAATTTTTTTTAAAATTATTTTTTTTTTTTTTTTTTTTTTTTTTTTAATTTTTTTAAATATTTATTTATACTTTTAATTATTAAATATCAATTTTAATTGCTTAATTTTAATAATACCAAGATAATTATTAATTTATTTTAAATTTTAAATTTAAATTAATTTTAAATTTAAATTTAAATTTAAAATTAATAAATAAAAAAAAAACATAGATAAGTTCAGTTTAATTTTTTAGGGGTACATTTTAAAATGAATGAACTATATAGCAATAATTCTATAGAAACCAATAACAACAATAATAGTAATTTTAATAATAATAATAGCAACAACAACAATAGTGATAATAGTAGTACCAATCATAATTATAGTTATAGCAATAATAACAGCAATATCAACAACAATAACAATGTTGAAGTAATAATATCAGATAACGAAAAAGAAAGCGATAGAGAATATTCTGACAATGACCCAAGCAAAGAAGATAATATTAATTGGTTAATTGATTTAACTAGGGTACATATAGGTCAATATAATGAAGATGATCCAGAAAAAGAAAAGGTTTGATTTTATTTTGATTCATTTTTTTTATATTTTTATGATTTTTGATTCCAATGATTATCAATTTAGTTTTGGTTTTAATTTTAATTTTAATTTTAATTTTATAAAAAAAAAAAATAAGAAAGGAAAAAAAAAAAAAAAAAAAGGAAGATAATAAAAAAAAAAAAAGAAAAGAAAAGAAAAAAAAAATTAATAATATATGAGATGGATATTTTATGTAATAATAATAGCAAATAAATAAAAATAACATATCAATATAATAATAGCATTTGTTTTAGTTTTTTTTTTCATTTTTTATTTAAAATCTATACTAAACCTTTATTTTTTTTTAATTTAACAGATTATTTTAGATCAATTATCCACAATTAATATCGAATATAGCAATCACTTAAAAAAATACAAATATACAAATGTAATTAAAGATTTATATAGAAAAGGAAAATTAGTTTTAAAAAATGTAAGTTCTGAATCATATTATTATATTAAAAATCGTTTTATATTTATATTATTTATTTTATTTTAGAAAATAAACGAACTATACGAAAATTTTAAAATAACAAAAAACTTAAACAAAAAAACAAAGAAAAAAAAAGTAAACCAACCATATTTAAATAGATTACCTCCAACTCCAGTTCCATTAAAAATAAAGGAAAAAAAAACACTACCAGCAACAGAAATAAGCCAATCATCAAATAAAAATAATAATTGTAATATATTTCATTTTCCTCCGCCACTTCCATATATTTTAAAACTAAGCGATATCAAATATATAAAGGAAAAAAAAGAAAGAAAGAGAAAAGAAGATGAAGAAAGGAGAAGAGAGAGTAGGGACAGAAGTAGAGATAGAGAAAGCAATAGCAGAGACAGTAGAAAGAGATCAAAAAGTAGCGGAAGCAATAGATCGTCTAGTAACCGGTCATCGTATGATAGATCATTCAATAGTGAAGACAACAATAGATTACCCAACTATGACGGCAATGCAAATACATCGATGAACCTACCATTACAGTCACACGTTTACACTGACATTGATGTAAATCATTTAAGCAATAGGTCTTCTTTAGAAAGACTGAACCCAGATGGATCAATGCTACCACCAAAAGGCAAACCCAAAACGATACCAGAAGGTGATGAAAAAATTGTCACAATGCCAGTAGGTACTCCAATACCTCTATCAGTAATTCAAAAAATTGCTCCATTAGAAACATCTGCCCCAATTCCAACTGTACAGCCACATATTCACAGCTTTTCTTTAGATTCCAAATTATTAGATGCGTTAATACCAGTTGAACAACAACAACAACAACAACAACAACAACAACAACAACAACAACAACAACAACAACAACAACAACAACAACAACAACAACAACAACAACAAAATCAATTAATAAATTCACCACCAACTATACAATCACCACCAATTATACAATCACCACCAATTATTGCAAATGAAAATTTAAGAAATCATTTAAATGAATTAAAAAAGAATCCTATAAAAATGGATCAAATAAAACAATTATATGAAAATCAATTATTAAAGGAAAAAGAATTATTACAACAACGTCAATTATTAATCGATACACAAATGGAAAGAAAGAAATTAAAATTAGAGAGCTTTGCTTTGGAGTTGAACAAAGTTAAAGGAGATCCAGCTGAAACAAAAAAAGTAACTCAACAATTATCAATCGAAGCCAATATTGTAAAAAAACAGAGTGAAGATGAATTAAACAACTTTAGTAAATTCCTGATCGATGAAATGACGAAAATGCTTATGATCCAACAAGTATCTTTGCAACATTTAGGTGTCAATGGCTTTTATCAAACATCCAACCCAACCGATATCAAAGAACAATTAAATATTTTACACTATTTAGTACCAAATCTATATAACCCAACCAATACAACAACAGCCACACCAACGACATCAATAAATCAATAAAATAAAAACCACAATCATCAGAATTGAAACAACCCACATTGAATTTCAAATTACCACTTTTTTTTATTTATTTTTTTTTTTTATTTATGCAAAAAAAAAAAAATTATTTTTTTAAAAAAATTTTTTTAATTTTTTTTTTAAAAAAAAATCATTTTTTTTTTTTATTTTTTATTTTTTTTTTGATTAATAGTGTTTTTCGTTTTTTAAACTTTTTTCATTCATTATTTCATTCTATCTTTTTTTTTTTTCAAATTGTAATATAATAATAACTTTTCAAAAAAATAAAAAATAGAATAATAATAAATCATATATAAAAATGATGTTTAGAAATAACAGTAATAATAAAATTATTAGATCATTTAAAACACTTTCAACCTGTGCTTTAAATAGAAACACTATAAGAAGATTTTCAACACAACCAACAGAAATTGAAGGCGAATCAGGAAATGAAATAAAAGGTATCAACTCAAAAACACATCCAAGTCTTTATTATAGAGAAAAATGGGATCTTCACAAAGAAAATTATTCAGATTTATCAAATATCGATGTCTCATTAACAGAAGACAAAGTTATTGAAGGCAAAGAAAATGAAAAAAAAGATTTAGATAAAGACGAAGATGAAATTGATCTTAGAGAAATGGAAGATTTAGAATATCAAACAATGTTAACCGAATTAGAAGATTTAATTTTAGACACCTTACCACCATTATTCCCATATATTAAATACGAAATTTATGATCTCCACAAAGCAGATCCAGAATTTTGGGATATTAAACGTCTTTCACAAGCTTTCAAAATTCATCCAGGTCGTATTGTAGCTATCATTCGTTTCATCGAAATTGAAAAAATGGAAAAGGCAAATGGCACCTACGACGAAGAAATGAATGTTGTTTTGTCTGATTATGGTTATGATGTTGGTTATCGTATGGATGATTCAGCTGATGACTTTTGTGAAGATGAACATCAAAAACAAAGTAAAGACGATCCAAACTATTATTCACCAATTGGTCACAATGCACATACTCTTAATAGAGCTTATAAGACCTCCACTACCAAATCTAAATCAAGAAATATCAATGGTAGACCAGATCCAATTCACGAAATTCCAACTCAAATCCCAGAATCTTATCCAGATAAACCACTCTACTTTAGAGGTCCAACCTTTGTTGTACCAAGAAAGAAAAATGTCGTCTTTGTTGATACCTCTAGAAATGCAATCACTAAAAAAGTTAATCCAGATCCAATGGTTTTAATTCAAGGCATTGATGGTAGTCTTCGTACCCCATCTTCAACTGAAAAAGCTTCAATTATGCAAAAAGTTAGACCACAAAAAGTTAGAAGAGATTATGAATCTATTCTTAATACACCAATTAAATATAAACTTCAACAAAAAATAAAACCAGTAGTTAAAGAGACACCATCTGAAGAATTACAAGAACAACAACAATAAAATAAATAAATAAATTAAATTAATACAATAAAATAATAAAAAATTTTTTAAAAAAAAAAAAAAACAAAACAAAAAAGAATTTTATAAAAAAAAAATTTTATACAAAAAATGTAATATGTTTATTAATAAATATTTAAATGTTATTTCTATTCGAATCCATCATCATCATTCCAAATGATAGATGATTTTTTTGGTGTTGGAATAAAAACGTTGGTGGTGGCAGGGGTAGTTGTATCTTCATTGTCGTCATCGATTGGTGGTGGTTCAACGTGTGTGGTGTCTTGGTCAAAATCATCACCGAATGAAATTTCATCGTCGTCCCAATCACCTACAGGTTTCTCTGGTGACTTTAAGGATTCATTACTATCGTCTTGTGACCAATATTTATTTTGTATATTATTTCTTTCAGTATTGGTGGTTTCCTCTTCCTCTTCCTCTTCTTCTTCTTTTTGTTGAATAATTGTTGGTTGTGGTGGTTGGTTCTTTTGGTTTTCAATGATTTGTTTATTTTTTTGTTGTAATTCTTTTAATTGCTCTTCGGAAAGAGTTTGTTTTGGTGCCAATGGTTTTTTTAAACCACCGAGTGTCATAGCTGATTTTGCTGGGGTACTTAATGGAACATTTGATAAATCTTTTACTGGTGATGCTAAATTGGTTGATGTATTATTGTTATTATTGTTATTTGTTGGTTTATTATCGTCCTCTTCCTCCTCCTCCTCTTCTTCCTCGCTGTATTTATTATTATTTGGCTCTATATCTTTTTTAGCTATATTATTTGTATTATTATTATTATTTATTGTTGTTGATGTAATATTTGTATTTTTATTTGTGGCTGGTTTGGTTTGTGTTGTTGTTATATCATCTTCATCATCACCAAAATCAAATTTATCCAGAGTTGTTACTTTTGGTCTTGAAACTTGCTCAGTTGCATCAATAAATGCTACTGGTCCTTTATGTGGTTTATCTGGTTGAGTTTGTTGTTGTTGTGAATAGTCAGGTAAACAACTAAAATTAATACCCATTTTATATAACAAATAATACTATTGTTTTTTATTTTTTGTATTTAATATATTCTGATATGTATAATATAATTTATTTTGGTGTAGATTAATAATATAAAACAAAAAAGAAATCTGAATGTAATGTGTAATTTGTGTTATTTCTTTGTTTTTTTATTTTTTTTAAAAAATATTGACTATTTTTTTTTATTAAAATTAAATAAAATTTTAATTTTTTTTTAAAAAAAAATTAAAGAAAATAAAAAAAAAATTAAATTTTTTGTGTGCGTTATAAAAAAATCTATTTGTATTGAAATAGTAAATTATTTAAACAAATCGTATGGTTTTTATAAATGAAGATATTTAAAAGTGTGTGTATAGATTATTTTTATTTAAATTTAAAATAATACTACAAATAAAAAATACTTTTCCCCACAAACTGAATCTAAATATAAAATATAACTCAACTAAATAAAATTAATAATTGCTATTTCTTGCAAGTATAGTACAATATTTCTTTTTTTTCAAAGAACAAAGGGAGGATTCCTATATATAAATTTAATTTCAATTCAAATATAAATTAAATCTTTTTTTTTTTTTTTTTTTTTTTTTTTATATTTAAATTTTGGAATTATTATTTTTTTTTTTTTTTTTGATATTTTTTTTTTTTTCATTTTAAAATTTCGTTTTTGTAAATATTATTGTTTTTTCATTTAATATATACAACACACTTAATTAAATTTAATTTATTAAATTTTTTAATTTTTTTTTTTTTATTTATATAAATTAATTTTTTTTTTGTATATACATATTTTTAAATAAAATGTCATTCGAATATCCAAAATTAAATTTAGTTAAACCAGTACCAAGCGATATTGATATTGCATCATCAGCCGTTCCATTACCAATTAAGAAGATTGCAGAACATATTGGCTTATTAGAAGATGAAATCGATTTTTATGGCAAATACAAAGCTAAGGTTAATTTAAGCACAATCGATCGTTTAAAAGATGCAGAGAATGGTAATTATGTTGTAGTCACTGGTATTAATCCAACCCCATTAGGAGAAGGTAAATCAACTACAACTATTGGTTTATGTCAAGCTTTAGGTGCCCACCTCAATAAAAAGTCATTTGCTTGTATTCGTCAACCATCACAAGGTCCAACATTTGGTATTAAAGGTGGAGCAGCTGGTGGTGGTTATTCACAAGTTATTCCAATGGAAGAGTTCAATTTACATATGACCGGTGATATCCATGCTATCACTGCTGCCAATAATTTATTATCTGCTGCTATTGACACTCGTATTCTCCATGAATCAACCCAAACCGATGCTCAACTTTGGAAACGTCTTTGTCCAGAAGCTAAAGATGGCAGTCGTAAATTCTCACCAATTATGATTCGTCGTTTGGTTAAATTAGGTATCAATAAAACCGACCCAAATACTTTAACAGAAGAAGAAATCTCAAGATTTGTTCGTTTAGATATTGATCCAGAATTAATTACTTGGAATCGTGTTTTAGATACCAACGATCGTTTCCTTCGTGGTATCACTGTTGGTCAAGGTAAAGAAGAACAACGTTTCGCAAGAAAAACAAATTTCGATATCTCTGTTGCCTCTGAAATTATGGCTGTTTTAGCTCTTTGCACAAGTTTATCAGATATGAGAGAACGTTTAGGTCGTATGGTTGTTGGCCCAAGTAGAGCTGGTGAACCAGTTACTGCCGATGATCTTGGTGTTGGTGGTGCTTTAACAGTTTTAATGAAGGACGCTATTATGCCAACTCTTATGCAAACACTTGAAGGTACACCAGTTTTAGTTCATGCTGGTCCATTTGCTAATATTGCTCACGGTAACTCTTCAATTATTGCTGATCAAATCGCCCTTAAACTCGCTGGTAAAGATGGTTATGTAGTTACTGAAGCTGGTTTCGGTGCTGATATTGGTGCAGAGAAATTCTTTGACATCAAATGTCGTTCATCTGGTTTAAAACCAAATTGTGCTGTTATTGTTGCTACTATTAGAGCTCTTAAAATGCACGGTGGTGGTCCAAAAGTTGTTGCTGGTACTCCATTAGATAAAGCTTATACCAATGAAAATTTAGAACTTTTAGAAAAAGGTATTGAAAATCTTTCTCATCACATTAAAAACCTCAAGAAATTTGGTGTCGGTGTAGTCGTTGCAGTCAATAAATTCTCAACTGATAGTGATAAAGAAGTTCAACTTTTAGTAGACCTTTCAATGAAAGCTGGTGCTAACTCTGCAGTTATGTGTGACCATTGGGCCGAAGGTGGTAATGGTGCTATCGAATTAGCTAAAGCTGTTGAAAATGCCTGTAAAGAAACAAACAAAGATAACTTTAAATACCTCTATCCATTAGATCTTTCAATTAAAGAAAAGATTGAAACCATCGCAAAAGAAATTTATGGTGCTGATGGTGTTGAATTTAGTGCCGATGCCGAAGCTAAAATTCAATTATACACCAAACAAGGCTTTGATAAGCTTCCAATTTGTATGGCTAAAACTCATCTTTCACTTAGCCACGATCCAGAAAAGAAAGGTGTTCCAACTGGTTTTACCTTACCAATTCGTGATGTACGTGCTTCCATTGGTGCTGGTTTTATTTATCCATTAGTAGGCACAATGCAAACTATTCCAGGTTTACCAACTCGTCCATGTTTTTATGAAATTGATATTGATACCAATACTGGTAAAGTTATTGGTTTAAGTTAATCAAATAATTTATTAAAATATATATTCAATAAATAAAATTACAATATTTGTAAAAAAAAATTAATAAATCGTTCGAATTGTATTTTCTTTTATTTTTTTAAATTAAAAAACTATAAAACTAAAAATTAGGTAAAGATACAAATTTTTTTTTTTTTTTATTAAAAAATTTTTATTTTTTATTTTTTATTTTTTTTTGTTTTTTATCATTTTTTTAATTTATTTTTTTTAATTTATTTTTATAGCTTATTGTTTGGTCATTAAGATTTTAGTAAAGGTAACTAGAAATAAAAATAACGATGTTGGTAATATTAACGGTTATATTGATTTTCCCTCTTGGTTTTAAATTTAAATTTTTTATTTTCTCACAGCCAAAATTTTGAAATTCAAGAGGGAAAATTTTTATTTTTTTTATTTTTTCGAATAATAAAACACATAAAAATAATAATAAAACACTAATTAAAATATTAAAAAAAAAAATAATGATTTCAATACAAGAGGATAATAGAATGAATATAATGAAAAGAGGTTTATTTATTTTATTTGAAGGCGCAGATAGAGTTGGTAAATCAACACAAGTTCAATCCTTAACCAACCATATTTCCAACAGTAGAAATCTTCCAACTAAATCATTAAGATTCCCTGACCGTACAACTCCAATTGGTCAAATTCTTAACCAATATCTTCAAAATGCTACAAATATGGATGATAGAGCATTACATCTTTTATTCTCTTCAAATCGTTGGGAAGCAAAGTTAGTAATCATTTTATTATAACAATTATAATAATCATCATATATTAATAATTACTATTTTCTTTAGAGATTCAATTTTAGAGTTATTAAATAGTGGTACAAATATTGTTGTAGATAGATATTCATATAGTGGTGTTGCATATACCGCAGCCAAAGGTATTGATGTCGATTGGTGCTATAGTTGTGAAAAAGGTTTACCAGAACCAGATATTGTTTTCTATCTTTCAATGTCAACCGAAGATGCCACTAAAAGAGGTGATTACGGTGGCGAGCGTTATGAAAAGGTCGAATTCCAAATGAAAATTAAGCAAATCTATGAAGAAAAATTAAAGAGACCATCATGGAAAGTTATCAATGCAAATAGAACAGTTGAAGAAGTTTCAAACGAAATTAACCAAATCTTTGATTCTGAATTAGAATCACTTCAAAAAAAACCAATTGGAACTTTAAATTAACCCTATAGTTGTTATTGATATTATAAAATTTAAAAAAGAATTTTTTTGTATAAAAAGTATATTGCGTAAAAATAAAGTAAATTTAAAAACCAAAAAAAAAAACTAAAATTTATTTTATTTTTAAATTTTTTAATTAAAAACTATTTAATATCTGTGAATTGTGTTGGTTGGTTCTACTAATGGCTTTAAGTCATGTAAATTATCCCACCATTTATTTAAATGATTTACAGCAATTAATCTGAACCATGGAGTTAATTTGATTTTACCGTTATCTTCATCCTCAAACATTTGTTGTAATTCTTCTTTTGATACATATTTATAATCCATAACTTCATTTGGTTCTGCATTAATAGTAACATGGTCTTTTTGAGCGATTAAGATATGATCGACTAAATAAAAATAAATGATATTAATAAATTATAATGATAATTTTTATTTATTTATTTGTTTTTATTATTATAATAACAATGTTTTAAACTTACTTTCGTGTTCACCCCATTTTGGATCTTCTTTTGATTCTGATTTATAATGTATTTTGGTCATAAAGGTGAAATCTTCAATATCTACCTCATTTAATGGTACACCTAATTCGTGATTTAATTTTCTTTTGGCAGCGCATCTTACACCATATGCATTTTCTTCTTTTAATTCAGTTTCTGGGATCCAAAGTGGATGGGAGCAAACAGTGTTTGTCCAATAACCTGGAAATGTAATTTTTTCTAATGCTCTTTGTTGGAGTAATAATTTACCTTCTTTGTTGAATAAAAATATTGAGAAAGCACGATGAAGTAAACCTTGATTAATATTAACCATTAAATGTGTTTCTTTTTTTGAACCTGGTTTAAGTGCTACATCATTATTATCTACAATAATACACTCTTCTTTCATTAATTGAATTTGTGTTTCATTGTGTCCTTTAAATTCATCACCAATTGTAATATTTTCTGAGGTTGTCATCTTTGCTGTGAAGGTTCTTTTATTTATTAGATTATTAACTTTAAAATTAATGTAGTTATTACAAGTAAGTGATTTAAATATATTATTATTATTTTTAATTAATAAACGACTAAACATAAAGATATTTTTAATAAATGTAATAATATAATTATTAGTTTTATTGATAATTATGTGTCGTAAAGATATTTAAATGAAAAAAAAAAATTTAAAATTTTTATTTTAAAAAAAAAAAAAAAAAGAAAAATTTAAAAAAAAAAATAAAATAATTTTAAAAAATACATATTTAAAAAAAAAAAAAAAAGTCTGTGGACAACCAGATTATGACATTAGTTTTATTTTCCAATAAATTATGTCATAATTGGATTCATTTTATTTATTTTATTTATTTAAGCAAAGTGTGTTTAAATTTATATTTATATTTTTAAATATGGATATTTATAAATATGTTTTCTATTTATGTTGTATCCTTTTCTAAAAAAAAAAATAAAATTATTAAAAAAATAAAAATAAAAAAAAAAAAATAAAAATAAAAATAAAAATAAAAAAAAAAAAAAAAAATAAAATATTTTTGAAAAAACATGACAATCAACATTTCGCTCGCAATATTTTTTTTTTAACTTTTTTTGTGATAATATTATTTTTAATATTAAAAAATAATTTATATCAAATACATACATTTTTAAATAACCCTTTAACACATAAATACAAATATAAAAAATATATAAACACATACACACACACCCACACACACATAATAAATATAGAATAATTTTTTAATTTGTTTAATTTATTTTTTTAATATTTATTTACTTTTACTTGTTTAAATTTAATTTTATTAATTTTAATTTTTTTTTTTTTTTTGTATATAAATTGTGTAGTTACTTATTTTTTTTTTTTAACTTTTTATTTATTTATTTATTTATTTATAATATAATAATATATTAAAATCAATCATGGATACTATTTCAATTGATGATATTAGAAATCAATGGATCGAGGAAGGTCAAGGACATGTTTTTCATTGGTTTGATGGATTAACAAATGAAGAAAAAAAACAATTTGAAAATGATATAAGATCAATCGATGTTAAAGAGGTTAACAGGGATTATAAAAGAGTAGTACAGGATAAAGGTAACATTTAGTTTTTGTTTTCTTATTTAAAAATATAATCAATTACTAATACTTTTTTTATTTATTATTTTCTAGTTAATCAAAAAGTTATATTATCATATCAACATTTTGATAATGTTATGACATTAGATAAAATTAAAGAGGAAGATAAGAAAAGATGGGAACAAATTGGATTTGAACTAATTAGTCAAGGTAAAGTTGGTATTTTATTATTAGCAGGTGGACAAGCAACTAGATTAGGTACAGCATTCCCAAAAGGATTTTATGATGTTGGATTACCATCAAAGAAATCACTCTTCCAATTACAAGCAGAAAGAGTATTAAAATTACAATCATTAGTAAGCCAAAGATGCCCAGATTATGATGATACAAAACCCATTCAATGGTATATTATGACAAGTGACGCCACCCATCACGAAACTATTAAATTCTTTGATAGACACGACTATTTTGGTTTAAAAAAAGAATCATTCTTTTTCTTTTGTCAACCAATGATTCCATGTATCACTCCAGAAGGTAAAATTATTAATGAAAGTCGTTCAAAGATTTCACTCTCTCCAAATGGTAATGGTGGTTTATTTAAAACTCTTCAAACCTCAGGTGCTTTAGATGATATGCGTAAGAAGGGCATCGAATACATCTCTCAATATTGTGTTGATAATATTTTAATTAAAATGGCCGATCCTGTATTTATTGGTTGTATGCATGAACAAAAAGCTGATTGTGCTGCTAAAGTAGTTTCAAAGGTATATATAAATATAATTATTTATAAATAATAACAGTTAAATAATATTAATCTAAAAAATTTATTATTATTATAGAAAGATCCAGAGGAACCAGTTGGAGTTATGGCAGTCAGAGAAGGTAAACCATTTGTATTGGAATATAGCGAAATTGATAAAGAGTCAAAATATTTAAGAGATTCAAATAATAAATTGGTATTTAATTATGCACATATTTGCATTAATGCATTTTCATTCGAATTTCTTGATAGAATCGCAAAACAACATTTAGATGATTTGAAATATCATGTTGCTTTTAAAAAGATTCCAACTGCTGATGAAAATGGTTCACGTTCAACACCACCACAACCAAATGGTTGGAAACTTGAAAAATTCATCTTTGACGTTTTCCCATTCTCTCATAAAATGGTTTGCTTAGAAATCGATCGTTCTGAAGAATTTTCCCCATTAAAAAACTGTGCTGGTATGCCAATTCCTGCAGATTCACCAGAAACTTGTCTTCGTGATATTTGCCATTTACATCGTACCTATATAGAAGCTGCTGGTGGTAAAGTTGATTTAGATGAATCTCAAATTTGTGAAGTATCCCCATTAACTTCTTATGCTGGTGAAGGTTTAGAAAATATTGTAAAAGGTAGAATTATTAAGTTACCATATGAAATTAATCAAAAAACTCCTCATATTTCTCAATGTTAAAATTAAATTTAATAACAATTTAAAATCAAAATCAAAATCAAAATCAAAATCAAAATCAAAATCAAAATCAAATCATATATTTTTCCTCACGTATAATTATTACCTCCATTGGGTAGCATTTCTCTGTTATAGATTTAAAATAATCAATATTTAGTTAATATTGGAAGGATTTAAAATTTTAATAATAACAATAAAATTTTTTAATGTAAATTAACAAATCATAAATCAATAAATTATATTTATATTTCTACTTTTTCCAAATAAATATTAATTTCTTTGAAACAAAAAGGATACTTTGAAACAAAAAAAAAAAAATCTTTTTTTTTTTATTTTTTTTTAATTTTTTTTTTTTATATATTTTTCTTTCATAACAGTTATTTTTAAAACAATGGATAAATTACAATATAGTGATGCTACACCAGAAGAAATTGATTTAATTAAAAATTCAGAACCATCAGATAAATTAAAAAATATTTTTAAAGCAATTGGTGGACCCAAGTCTGATGCAAGTTCAATTCAAGTATTTAAAAATAAATTAATAGAAGATGCACAATGGAGGATTGATGTTGGGTTGGATCAAGCATCACCAGAAATTAGCACTAACGGAGATGACTTGGTTAAAGAAACAATAATAAAAGATAATATTAAAGAAGTTTATTGTTATATAAATGGATATTTTGATCAACCAGCAACTATTAAAGTAGTTAGACCAGACTCATCAGTTCCATTATCAAATATCGAGCTATTAGCAATTTACACTAGCGCCTATCAATGGATATATAAAGAGGAAGAAAGCCAGGTGGGAAACCCAGGACACATAGAAGGAATGTTAAATCGTGATCAATCTCATGGTCGTTATGGTATTTATGGACATGACTTAGGGGATTTAGTTTACAACTCATTTTCAGATATCTCAATATACAGTAGTTTCATTTATTGCGAATTTAGAGTAGACTCATAATTAAAACAAATCAAAAAAAAAAAAAAAAATTATTAAATAAATTAATAAATATTAAAAATATTTATTTTATAAACAGTTTTTTTTATATTTTTTCGTGTTGACCTTTTTCTTTTCGAATAAATTAGTCTTTTAAAAAATGTTTCAAACAAAGAAAACTCAATTTTTCAAAAATTACTTGAATTTTTTGGATTTTGAAAAAAAAAAAAAAAAAATTATTTATATAAAAAAAAAAAAAAAAAAAAAATTTAATTATCATTATGTTCACCAATATTACGATAATGATAAGTGAATAAATAATGAAAGTGATGATTAAATAAGACAGATTAAAAAGAAAAAAATTAAAAATTAAAAAATCATACTTTTTTTCGAGCTTTAAATATATCAAATAACTAAGTTGTTTTTAATTTGATCATTAACACCAGTCCAATACCATTTTTTTTTCGTTAATAATCATTTTATTTTATTTTAGTTTTTTATATTTTTTATTTATTTTTTCTTTTTTTTTTGATATAAAAATGTTTTTTTTTTTCAAATCATTTCATTTATTTTTTTCAATTTATTAACATACATATTATATATTATTATTATTATCCTATTCATATAAAATGGAACCAATTGTTAAGAGTGGTGGCGATATCTTTTTAAAATTATATAGAAATAAAGTTATTAGAAAAGAAATTAATGAATGGAAGAGTGAAAAACCAAAATGTTTTAGTTTCAATTCAAGAGAAAGTTTACTTCAATTCGAAGATAGAGAATTCCTTTTAAATGCAGCTATTAATTTTGATGAAGAGTTAGAAGTCGGTGATATCCCATCATCTGTAAAGATTTTATCAATCTCAGCAGCCTACAGAAAAGAAATTAAAGCAAATGTTATTCCAAATGGTGTATTTACATTAGGCCTTCCATACTCTTTTGATCAAGAGTTAGTAGAAACCCTTATTCCATCCATCAGTCAGAAAGTTTAAAACCTGGCGGCCAAGTTTAATCAAAAAGTTGGTTAATTTACCATCACAACTTAAAGAATTATTTTTATCAGTCGAGTTTGACCAAGATATCACCCAAGGCTCCATCCCATCTTCAGTTGAAACCCTTTCATTTTTAAATAAATTCTCAAAACCAATTGGTCCAAATGTATTACCACACTCATTAAAATCACTTGTATTAGGTTTTGGTTTTAACCAACCAATTACTGGTATTTTACCACAAGGCCTCTTAGAATTAAGTTTTAGCTATTCTTTCAATCAACCAATCTTTGCTGGTGATCTTCCAACAGGTCTTAAGTCACTTTCATTGGGTGCTAGTTTCGACCAACCACTCGATGGTGTTCTTCCAGATGCTCTTGAATCTTTAGTTCTTTTCAGAAAATATTCACATGCTTTCAATTTACCAGCAGCAATCAAACATTTAGAGATTGATAATATTGCACCATTTATTCAAGCCAATTCTGCTATTCCATCATCAGTAACCGAGTTTTCAATTGCCATGCCAAATATCAGTTTAGCAATCCCAGTTGGTTTTATTCCTTCATCAGTTATAAATCTCACCATAAGATCCAACTTTTCACAACCAATTACACAAAATGTAATCCCAGCATCAGTAGAAACTATTACTTTCCGTTCAAGAGGTTTCGATCAAACTATTGTTATTCCACCAACAGTTAAAAAGGTTATTGCTTACAATGAAACTAAAAATAGATTAGCTAGAAATCGTCTAATTCCATCTACCGCTACTTTTGTTTATATTAGATCGTTAAAATCAGAAGATGACCTTACTGATGAGGAAGATGAATATACTGATGAGGAAAATGAAGAAGAAAATTAAAATAAACCCTAGATAATTTACAAATAATAATAGAAATAATTGAAATAATAAAACAAATAAAAATATTTTATTATAAAATACAAGGTTATTAAATAGTTTAAAAAATAAGAAAGTTATAATTTTTTATAATATTTTACAAAAAATATATTATTTATTTTATATGAATATTTTTTCTTAAAGTTTACTTTAATCAGTATTAACAACTAGCTTTAACTACCAGTGAAAGGATCTTTTGAATATATACAGTGCCCGGAATATATGTATACCCCCATTTTTTATAAAGATGGAAATTATAATTTAAAAGTCCATTCTAAAATATATATAAAAAGTTAATTTAAAAAAGATACTTTTCTCTTTTTATTTGGAATTTTATCAGGTATTAATTGATACTTGATGTTTTGTAAAAACAAGTATTTAACGGTGCGGGGTATAAAAGTAAGTGGTTGATTAAAGCCATCAAGTAAATGTAAATGTATAACTGTTGCTGGAATTGAACCAGGTACTAATTGATACTTGATGTTATATAAATACAAGTATTGTACGGTGGGTGGTATAAAATTAAGTGGTTGATTGAAACCATCTTGTAATAATAAATATGTAATGGTTGCTGGAATTGAACAAGATGTTAATTGATACTTGATGTTATATAAATACAAGTATTTTACGGTGGGTGGTATAAAATTAAGTGATTGATTAAAGCCATCTTGTAAATATAAATGTGTAACTGTTGTTGGAATTGAATCAGGTGTTAATTGATAATTAATGTTATGTAAATACAAGTATTGTACGGTGGGTGGTATAAAATTAAGTGGTTGATCAAAGTCATCTTGTAAATTTAAATGTGTAACTGTTGTTGGAATTGAATTAGGTGTTAATTGATACTTGATGTTATATAAATACAACCATTGTACGGTGGGTGGTATAAAATTAAGTGATTGATTAAAGCCAACTTGTAAATATAAATGTATAACTGTTGCTGGAATTGAATCAGGTGTTAATTGATACTTGATGTTATATAAATACAAGCATTCTATGGTGGGTGGTATAAAATTAAGTGGTTGATTAAAGCCATCAAGTAAATTTAAATCTGTAACTGTTGCTGGAATTGAATCAGGTGTTAATTGATAATTAATGTTATGTAAATACAAGCATTGTACGGTGGGTGATATAAAATCAAGTGATTGGTTAAAGCCATCTTGTAATATTAAATCTGTAACAGTTGCTGGAATTGAATCAGGTGTTAATTGATACTTGATGTTTTGTAAATACAAGTGTTGTACGGTGGGTGGTATAAAATTAAGTGGTTGATTAAAGGCATCTTGTAAATATAAATCTGTAACAGTTGCTGGAATTGAATCAGGTGTTAATTGACACTTGATGTTTTGTAAATACAACGTTTGTACGGTGGGTGGTATAAAATTAAGTGGTTGATTAAAGCCATCTTGTAATATTAAATCTGTAACAGTTGCTGGAATAGAATCAGGTGTTAATTGATACTTGATGTTTTGTAAATACAACGTTTGTACGGTGGGTGGTATAAAATTAAGTGATTGATTAAAGCCATCTTGTAAACATAAATCTGTAACAGTTGCTGGAATTAAATCAGGTGTTAATTGATACTTGATGTTTTGTAAAGCCAAGTATTTTAAGGCAGGTGGTATAAGATTAAGTGGTTGATCAAAGTCATCTTGTAAATTTAAATGTGTAACTGTTGTTGGAACTGAATTAGGTGTTAATTGATACTTGATGTTATATAAATACAGGCATTCTACGGTGGGTGGTATAAAATTAAGTGATTGATTAAAGCCATCTTGTAAATGTAAATCTGTAACTGTTGCTGGAATTGAACCAGGTGTTAATTGATATTTGATGTTTTCTAAATGCAAACATTCTACGGTGGGTGGTATAAAATTAAGTGATTGATTGAAGCCATCTAGTAAATATAAACCTGTAACTGTTGCTGGAATAGTTTTGGGTAAACATTCGATAGGTCCAATTGCAAGGAGTTCAATATTTAAATGACTAATATCACACCCTTCTTCATAAATTTTAAATTCTTTTTGATACACTTTATTAAAATGAATTAATTTAAGTATTATATTTATAAAATAAAAATATATTTTAATGTTTAAAACTTACATTTTAGTGTTTTTAAATTTTTTTTAACTAAAGAAATTTCATTAAGTAATTCTAAATAACTGTTTGTTAGATTTTTGATTGATTTGAGACTATTTTCTTTAATTATTAATTGAGTATCTTTATAGTCTGGTAAGTTATTATTTTTTATATTTGATAAAAGATTGTTACATTGATGATTATGTTTTAAAAGTTCAATAAATCCATTATTATTATTATTATTATTATAATTAACATCATTATTAAATTTAATAGCATTATTAATTATATTATTATTTCTTTCTATTGTTGTTGTTATTATTTCATTTACATCTGTATTTTCATTTAGTTTAGTTAATAATAACCTTGTGATATCGTTTTCTTTTGCATCAATAATATTTTTTAATTCCTTAAATATTTTAAAAATTTTATCATAATTCATTGTATGGTTATCTTGAATTTGTTTAAAGTGATTGTTTGATTTATCCAATATTTTTTTATTATTTTCTAAATAGTTGTTTAGTTTTGGTATTGTTTGATTATTAAATTCTTGTTGTATTTGATTTCTAAAATTTATATCATTTAATTTTTTAAAATTATGACCATAATGAATATCAGTAATACAATCAATACAGACAGGAGTGTTGTTTGGACAATTTGAGCATATTGAAATAATATCTTGATATGGGTGATCTAAGCATTTGGTATCATATTGTTGATTATTTGACATTTTAAATTTTAGTTTTTACAATAATATATTATTTAATTGTTTTATAACCCGCTTCAATAAAAATTATTTTAAAAAAAAATATTAAAAATAAAAAAAATTATTTTGCGAGCCAAGTTTGCGCACCAAATTTTTAACTTTTTTTTGCATTAAATTTTGAATAATGGTAAATATTGATTATTTTTGTGATAACTATCTTAAAAAATTAAAAAAAAACTAGGGATTATAATTTAGGTTATTTTGTGAGATAATGTTTACATAAGGGATTATTTGCTAAAAATAAAAATAAAATATGGTCTTAATATTTATTCCTTTATTTCAATTTCAAAAATTTATTAGTATTTTTTTTAAATTTATATAAATGATTGTTATTAATTAATATTTAGTATATCCATGTGCTTTTAATATTACATCCATTCGATCAGGGAGAGATTCATATAATGATTCTATAATTGATTTTTCAATTGAATGAAATGCATCTTGACATACCTGAAATAGGTCTTGTGATGGGTCACGAAACATCTTTTTTGATACCCTTCTTTAACAATTAACCAAAGATTTTCAATTATATTAATACTGGACTGTAGGGTGGTAATGGATAAGCTTGTATATTATTCTCTTCTAAATAATCTTTCACTATCTTTCTGTAGGTTAACTTCAGTTGTCATGACAAATGATTTGCACCTTCTCAGGCCCTTTATTTTTATCTGCATATTATTCTAAAGTTAGTTATGTATCGTTTTTTATAATTTCAAGATATAGTTTAGTTCAAAATCCATTTGATAAATGAAAAAATAAATTGGACCATTAAGAAAATTCCCCTAAAATATTTCATTAACCCCACCCTTTCTAACATTTGTCTTGATTTATAGTAAAACATTAGTTTCAGTCCAAGAAGACCTACCATGGTTATTATCAATATTTTGGAACTTAACTTCATCCATAAACATATAATTTTCTCATTTTTCCACAATAAAATTTATATGCACAACTTCAAAAAAAATCTTTTTCTTCTATTATGTCTAATCAACGAAGGATTCTTAACTTTCTTTTTATATATTATGTTATATCTCTTTAATATAATTCTTACTGACTTCTATGATATTGTTCCATATCCATTTTGTTCATACCAAATTAAATTTAAAAAATTGAAACATAAATCACGTTCGTCCAACTTTTTTTCTCCCATGACCTTTATGGTCATTGGTTGTACCTGTTTGTTCTACCTTTCCTAATGTTTTTGCTACTTTTGATTTATGCACTCCAATTTTTGAGTTCGACTTGTGACTTCTGTTTCAAAAATACCTCATTTTGTTTGTTTACTATATATTATTTTTTCAAAAAAATTGAAATATGGTAAGAGGTGGGAAAAATTTATTATCATGTGCGAAAGAGTTTCAAAAACGACATATAAAGTTTTTTTTATTTTTAAAAAAATTACAAGATATTAAAATATTAAAAAATTTTTATTTTTAAAAAAATGTTCAAAAATCATCAGTTTAATTAAAAAAAAAAAAAAAAATTTTATTATAAAACCCAAAAATCATCATTTTTATAAAAAAATAAAAAATAAAAAAATTTTTAATTTAAATAAAAAATATTAAATATTATTTAATAAAAATACAATTAAAGTATTAATGGTTTTTATTTATTATAATTAAAAATACACGATTTTTATGAAGGATTTTTTTAGGATCGAATTTTAGGAAAAAGGAACCGGATTTTCATTAGAAAATATGATCAATCCTAGTTTTAAACCTCGATCCAATACTATATATTAAATTAATGATAAAAAAAAATAAAAATTTTAAAAATAAAAATGTGGTAAAAATATAGAAATTTTTTTTTTATTATTTTTCCCACCCATATTACCTACCATTTGTTTTTAAGCTCTAATTATAATTTTGGATGTTTGTAGTTGGGATAATATTTAATTTTTTGCTTGGGGTTTGAAATGGAGTCGGGTTCTAAAGGGTAGACCACATCTTCCATATGAATATGAGTTATAGAGCCAGGGATGATACCTTTGGCAAAACGCTGAGAGAAACCACTAGAAAATTTAAGTAAAGTTAAATGATTTGGAATTTTACCAGGTGTTAATTGATACTTGATGTTTTGTAAATACAAGTATTTTACGGTGCGGAGAATAAAAGTAAGTGGTTGATTAAAGCCATCAAGTAAAGTTAAATGTGTAACTGTTGCTGGAATTGAACCAGGTACTAATTGATACTTGATGTTTTGTAAATACAACCTTTGTAGGGTACGTGGTATAAAATTAAGTGGTTGATCAAAGCCATCAAGTAATTTTAATTGTAAAACTGTTGCTGGAATTGAATCAGGTGTTAATTGACACTTGATGTTTTCTAAACACAACGTTTGTACGGTGGGTGGTATAAAATCAAGTGATTGATTAAAGCCATCTTGTAAATATAAATCTGTAACAGTTGATGGAATTGAATCAGGTGTTAATTGATAATTAATGTTATCTAAAAACAAGTATTGTACGGTGGGTGGTATAAAATCAAGGGATTGATTGAAGCCATCTTGTAAATATAAATATAAAACAGTTTCTGGGATTGAATCAGGTGTTAATTGATACTTGATGTTTTGTAAAGCCAAGTATTTTACGGTGGGTGGTATAAAATCAAGTGGCTGATCAAAGTCATCTTGTAAGTGTAAATGTGTAACTGTTGTTGGAATTGAATGAGGTGTTAATTGATACTTGATGTTTTCTAAATACAAATATTGGACGGTGGGTGGTATAAAATTAAGTGATTGATTAAAGCCATCAAGTAAAAATAAATGTGTAACAGTTGCTGGAATTGAACCAGGTATTAATTGATACTTGATGTTATGTAAATACAAATATTGTACAGGGGGTGGAATAAAATCGAGTAATTGATTAAAGCCATCTTGTAAATATAAATGTGTGACTGTTGCTGGAATTAAATCAGGAATAGTTTTGGGTAAACATTCGATAGGTCCAATTGCAAGGAATGCAATATTTAAATGACTAATATCACACCCTTCTTCATAAATTTTAAATTCTTTTTGATACACTTTATTAAAATGAATTAATTTAAGTATTATATTTACAAAATAAAAATAAATAATTTAATGTTTAAAACTTACATTTTAGTGTTTTTAATTCTTTTTTAACTAAAGAAACATCATCAAGTAATTCTAAATAACTGTTTGTTAGATTTTTGATTGATTTGAGACTATTTTCTTTAATTATTAATTGAGTATCTTTATAGTCTGGTAAGTTATTATTTTTTATATTTGATAAAAGATTGTTACATAGATGATTATGTTTTAAAAGTTCAATAAATCCATTATTATTATTATTATTATTATGATTAACATCATTATTAAAATAATTATTATATTGAATAGCATTATTAATTATATTATTATTTCTTTCTATTGTTGTTGTTATTATTTCATTTACATCTGTATTTTCATTTAGTTTAGTTAATAATAACCTTGTGATATCGTTTTCTTTTGCATCAATAATATTTTTTAATTCCTTAAATATTTTAAAAATTTTATCATAATTCATTGTATGGTTATCTTGAATTTGTTTAAAGTGATTGTTTGATTTATCCAATATTTTTTTATTATTTTCTAAATAGTTGTTTAGTTTTGGTATTGTTTGATCCTTAAATTCTTGTTGTATTTGATTTCTAAAATTTATATCATTTAATTTTTTAAAATTATGACCATAATGAATATCAGTAATACAATCAATACAGACAGGAGTGTTGTTTGGACAATTTGAGCATATTGAAATAATATCTTGATATGGGTGATCTAAGCATTTGGTATCATATTGTTGATTATTTGACATTTTAAATTTTAGTTTTTAAAAATAATTATTTATTATTAAATTGTTTTATAACAAATATTTTTATAAATTTTTACACTGGACCTGATCCAATAAAAAATTATAAAATAATAAATTTTAAAAAAAAAAATAAAAAAAATAAAAAAAATTAAATTATTTTTTTTCCCAAATTAAAATTTGAATGGATAAAAAAAGTTGAAAAAGAGATAATATTTTTCTGAAATTTGAATTATTTCAATCAAACAGCTTGTGGTTGTGCTGTTTTCAAGGGCAACTTTATTAAAATTTGATATTGACATTGACAGTTTTCTTAGAAGAAATTGCTGGCAACTATTAGATATAAAATTTTATTTATTATAATACATATTAAATAAACCATTGTTTTTAAAAAAAAATTCTCTTATTTTTTTATTATATCTATTATTTTTTGGGTGAGTTATAATTTTCTAGTTTTTATCTGTTCCATCAACCTAAATAAACTGACCACTTGATATCTGATGTTATTATAATTTTTATCTGTTTTCCCGAGATACTCTCTAAATGACTTCAGTATTACTAAAATAGCTTGGGATTGTAGTAAAAACAATCTATC